CCCCTACTTTTTTTATGATTCGAAAATTGACAATGGCTATCCAAAAAAAAAAAAAAAAAAAAATAGCTTCTGATTTAACCAACCATTGATTCAATGGGATAAATCAATCAAAAACTAAATCAAACGAACCGTATTGTTCCCAGCGAAAAACTCTTATCATCGATATGTCAATCTTCCATCCACCATCATGCAATCTGATGCAAAAAATCAAAATCAATCATATCTTTGGCATCATCATCATCATTGTCATTCATGAAGGAAGGAAGGAAGGAAAACGTTTAGTTATTGAAAAAAGCAAAATGACAATCTTTTTATCAGAATCAAAAAAAAATTCATAATCAAAAAAAAAATGAACCTATCACCCTGGTTATCTGATTTCAAACGGAAAAAAAAGTTGCCTAACCTTTATCAGATCAAAATCAGTGTTTTTTCTTTGCAATCTCTCTCTTGGTCCATCCAGCTGTCAAAACGATTAATCTAACATCGAGATTTTTCATGAATTGTTTTTCTATAGTGATAATCAATTCAAAATCACACACACAAATAATTCACAATTATATTCGGTGTGACATTGTTGGTGTAGAAATTTGACAAAGAATTTCTCAGTTTTTTGTCTTCGATTTTTTGTTTCACTTGAAGAAGAAACCAAAGGTGAGATACACCAATGGTCAGTATTACATTACCCTCTCTCTCTCTCTCTCTAATAAAGTAGTTTTCTATGTATGGCCGTGTGTGGTGCGTTCCTGTGTCTGGCCAGGCAAAATATAAAAAAAAAATCGTAATAAGATCGGCTTATCAGGATGACCGAATCGCTTGGCCAAAAAAAAAAAAATCAATGAAATACAAGACAAGCCAAGCCTCGATCCAACAAATAAAAATAATGAAAAAAATAAAAATAAAAAAAATTCATCGAAATAGCCATATCGAATGACCATTCATATATGTCCATAACGAATGTTCCAAAATCAAATTATTGATGATGATAATGGTCAGTTTTTTTGGCTTTACACGACTGTTTTGTTTCATTTTTTTTCTCTCTCTCTCTGTGTGTGTGTGTGTGTGACATATGACACACACGGGTTATGAACGAAAAAATCACAACCAGAAATAAATCAAGAAACAAAACAAAAAAAAAATCCCTCAAAATCAACCCTGAACAACATCGAGTTATTCGAGTGGAAAATTTTTTTTTTGAACTTTTTTTTCGATTCATTTGATATCATTTTACCTTTTTTTCTGGTCAGAAAATAATAAAGGTCAAAAACAATTTTTTTTGGTGGGTTTAAATTGTGTAATATTAAATTTCAAAAATCAGAAACGAAAATCAGAACATACCTTTTGTATTGGGAAATTTTCTGGAAATTGAAAAATTTCTTGAAAACTCTTCTTTACCGGAAAACTTTCTCGAAAATTTTGATGATTTTTCCGGCGTTGGTCACTTAAGGATTTTATTTCACTTTTTTTTCGTTTTGGATTTTTGTTAATCACTAAAGCAATTGTTTCCGGAAAAAGATGTTTAAATATACACACGAAACACACAAACACAAAACCAATTTCTGTTGAAATAGTCGAGTTGAATTTGTTCGTTTTTTTTTGCGCAACAATGTCGCAAATGAAATTGGAATGTTGATTTTTCGGAAGAACACCGAACCGAACCAAACGAACAAAAAAATGAATGAATGAATTGAATTTGACAAGGTTTTTATATGACCAGGATTTTTTTTTCGGTCGTTTCATTGACTGAAATTAAAATAAAAACGATCCACGAATAATATATAACTAGCGCAGTAAGGTTTTGCCATCGTCGTCTGTTGCTGGTTTTTTTTCGGGGTGCAATACTGTGTGTTTGATCAAATAATGACAACTCCTCCTTCTCGTTGTGATTATGTGGTCCCCGATTTTTTCACCATTGATGGTAATCATCGAACAAAATTGTTTGAAACAAACCAGAAAAAAAAATCAAAAAAATGGTCACGATCTATACATCCATCAATCGAACGATTGATGAAAATCGAATGTTTTTGTTTGTGAGTGGACAATCCACATACAATGTAAACATCCTAATTTATCGGTCGATTATCGTGGGCGGGCAACAAGTGCTTCAAGAAAAGAAAAAATCCATGGGAAAAATTTGATTTTAACATCATCGATTTTTTCAAGATAATCATGATCATTATCATACCTTGTTAACTTTATCATCATCATCATAATCATATGACATTTCCGTTCACTTTCCCCATTTCATTTGAACGATAATGATATCGATCAATTGAATTAGGCAAAAAAAACCACAATGATGATGATGATCATTATAATTACCATCCTGTTGTTGAACAAGATTGGACACAAAAACATGGCCTTTAAATAGATTAACTACATAATCATAATGATGATGGGCGATACACACACACTATCACAATCATCATCTTGATTCGCGTGATGATCGTGATTTTTGTGTTTTTGGAAGAAAAAAAAAAACAAAATTCGAACATTCGAATGTTAACCAAAAAAACAATTATTCGAATGTTAGAGTGTGTGCAAATAGTCGCGGGACCCCAAACAACAACAAAAACAAGGTTCCCAGGGACAAATTGCAATTTTTTTCTTTTTTTCTTTTTTTTTACCTTTTTTAATGATCATCATCATCATTGATTTTCGATGAATGAAATTCAACAGAAACGAAACGAAACGAAACGAAAGAAAAAATCATTTCCTGTTTCCATTTTAAAAAGGTTTTTTTTTCTTTCAAATTGAAATCGGTTGTTGCTGTTGTTCATGTGTAAATAGTCATTGAGTGAGTAAAAATTTGAATTTGAAAACATCTTTTTTTCTTTTTCGACAAAAAGCGATTTTTTTCGTCTTGAAAAAAAGCTTCTTAAATGGATGAATGAACATTCATCACCATCATCACCATCATCATCGATTCATTGCCAATTTGAATTTTGAAAAAAAACTATTTTCACACAAGCTTTTTTTCTTCTGGACAAAATGGGTGATCGACCTTTTGAAATTGTTTTTCTTGGTCGAAATTGAATAAATATTTACTTCAAAACAAAAAATCTTTAAGCGGTTACACGTGTTTATCATCATCATCCATTAAAAATATAGCTCAATTAGTTTAAGTAAGTCCAGTCAATCAGTCAACAACAACAACAACAACAGGAAAGAATCACGTGTTGCCACGTGTTTTTGTTGATGATGATGATGATGATTACCGAATTACCACCGAATCCAGAAAACAAATTTTTTTTTTGGAGAAAAACACGTGTCAAATAAACATAAATTAAATTGACTTTGAATAGAGATTCATTTTTAGCCTTTAACCATGATGATGATGAAGTGTCAGAAATAAAAATCTTTCATCATCTTTATTTACATCGCCGTTTTTAAATAAAAAATAATATTGGTGTCACGTGTCTGATGGTTCTTCTTGGGTCAAAATATTTGCCAAATCAACTATTTCGACTTTTATAGCTTTTTTTAGGATTTATCTCTGAAAAAGAAAAATTATTATTATTTTCAAATCCAATAATGATCAAGTTTTTCAAGGTTCACATACATTGAAAATTGTTGTTTTTTATATAGGATCTCTATTTGATTCGGGAAAAAAAACAAAATGTTTTTCGTTTTTTGGATCGATCCATTGAAAAAAATGATGCATAAAAATTGCTTGGTCGAACTTTCCATCATCAAAAAAATCGAACCAGAATAATAATAGGAAAAAAAAACAGCTAGTCAATGATCAGGAATAGAAAAAAAAGTTACACACCTGCAAGCAAGGAAAAAAAAACTGAATGAATTGAATTGAATTGAATTACAGAATCAAACAAATTAATCACTTATGAATGTCATATTAGACTGTAGTTTGTTTTTTGGGTCGATTGTCAAATCGAACAAACAAAGAACAAAGAGAGAAACATTGCCACATTGCCGAATTATGTTTATGAATTGTTCCAATGGTTCAATTCTCTCGTTTCATTCATTCATTCATTTTTTCCATTGTCATCGTTTAATTGCAAACAAATATGAACCAAACGATATTGGGATGAATATTTTTGGAGAATAATAATAATATAAAAATATTAGCTTTATTCAATTCGGTTCTTTCGGGGTGATTGTTATGATGATGATGATGATGATAATGATGGCGGGACCCGATGCAATACCCGATAATCGAAGCCAGAGAGAGAGAGAGAGAGAGAGAGAGAGAGAATAAAAGAGCGATGATCCAGAAAAACAAAGTGGCTTTATTCATTTTGATGATGATGACAATAATACCAATCAAGCCAGCCAGTCACTATAGTTTGTAATATTATTAGCAACATTGTGGTCGCGATTTATATTTTCGTTCGTTCGTTCGTTTAATATAAAAATTGAAATTGAATGATTTTTTTCTTCGCTTCTTCAGCAAACTATTGTCATCGTTTTTATTTGTTTGAAGGGGAAAAAATACTTTTTTTTTGTTTCGTCGTCATTTATATTGGTCGTAGTCGTTTTGTTCATTCATCAAAAAACATTCGAAACGAAACGAAACATTCGAATGTTGGAACAAATAAACATTCGAATTTGAATCGATACAATCGATGTTGAGGATGATGATGATGATCGGTTTGATGATTACGTTCGGGGACCACCACCATCACCAACTACTACTACTATCAAATCAATTTTTTTTTTGCTGAATCAAATCAAATCAAAGAAATGATGATGATGATGATGACAATAGGCTTGGAACATTTTCATCATCATCATCATCGAAATCATCGACCGAAACCCGAACATTCGTTTTATTTCGGCTGGTTTGCTTTTATCCAAAAACGAATCGGCCCCCGAATACGTGCTTATTGGCCTATCATTTCGAATTAGTTTTTTGGTTTCTTTCTTTTCGGTTGATTTCAATTTTTTTTTCTTTTTGATCAACGAAAAAAAAATGCTAATCTCTCTCTCCCTCTCTTTTTACATTTAGATTTTTTTGTCATTGCCAAACTATTTACACATAACCAACCATCAACATCATTTTCGATTATAAAAAGCTAATAAAATGGTTCGATGCACGTAATATTTTTGTATTTGCATTTGAATTTGGCTCGCACCATAAAAACGGTTTGTATTCGGTGTATCAAAAACGAAACGAAACGATCGAAAAAAAAAATTATAAGGTTTTTATTACCAACAACAACAATTTTTTGGTTTTAATAGTAGCAAAGAAAAAAATCGAAAATGTAAAATTTTCTATTGATATATTCATGTTACAGAAAAAAAAATGTTACAAATCTTTCGTTTTATACAAAATGATAGCCATTTATAATATTTGAATAGAATTTTGGATGTCCAATCATACATTTCAATAATGATATTGATGTTTGCAACCCGGTTACTTTGATTTGATAATAATCAACATTTAAACGTGTAAGATTATTTTCAATAAATTTTTTTTGATTAAATAATTCTCTATTCGTTGATGATGATAATATTAATCGTTTACCCGATTGTATTAATGAATGTAAACAATAACCATTTGGATTTAAAACATAAATTTCGGTAATTTTTCCGGAAAGATATCGAAGTTTAAGTAGAAAATCTTTCTGTAAAGAGAAAAATGATTTAAAAAAAAATTCGTTCGAAAAAGGAACTTACCTGATCAAAATTGATTCGATCACAATCGATTCCTTCACGTTGTTGTTGTTGTTGCGATTGTTGCTTATCAACATTCAATACAGCAAATTTTATTGTTTCACAATTTTGTGATTCTAATTGAAAATTACGAATCAATAAACGTAAAAATAATTTATAACTAAACATTTTTTCACGTTTTGTTAACGAATCTATTGGTGGATTATCGATACGATTTAATTTTTCCAAAAAATTTACAGCAAATATTGAATATTTCAATAAGAAAACATTATCCAAATCCGAATCGGCAATTAAATTTTCTAAACGATTATACAAGCCATATAAATAAAGAAGATATTTATCAAAAAGTATATTAATTATTTGATGTTCAATACGATCATCGGATTTTACTGAAACAATTCCTTCATATTCATCCGTTACAATTTGCATTAAACGTTTTCGAATAATTTTCTTAGTAAATCGATATTCATTAATTCGATACCATTCATTTGATTGATGATTAAATAATTTCAATATTTTTCGAAGATCTTTACAACCATTTGTAAACAAACCATTCAATTGTATCATCCAAAATAATATAATTAAAGTGGCCATTTCAATATGTTTCGATTCGATTACAACAACGATAGTTTCGCCATCTGGTTGTACAAAATTATTCGATTTTTTAACATGTTTGATCAAATTAATCATTTCATTTGGTATTAAAAATGGCATACCAAATAATGGTTCATCATGATAACGATAACGAATATGATCGGAACGTTGAAAACAAATTGCATACCATGCTGATATCAGCAATAATCTTTCATCAGATGATTTTCCCTGTGCTTGTTGTTCAAATATTTGTTGAAAATTACGAAATAAATCATTCAATACTTTTGTACCAACATCCGTACGATTTTCATAAATATTACAAATTAATGCTGCTTCTGATTCAATATCTAACATTTCCATATGATCAATAACCAGATGACAATAATTATCAAATGCTTTTGTTGCTTCTTGTTCAAATATACGCCAACAATTCAATACCAGATCTGGATTTGGTTTTTCCAAACGATTTTCCTGATTAGCCAAAAGATATATATTCGATGATCGGATAACATCTTCCATCAATGTACAATGACGATAAATTTGTCCAAGAAATTTTGTCGATAAATATGAATCAAATTCTATCGTACGTTTGATCATAAAATCTGGCCGTATCCAATTAGAATCAGGTAAATGTTTGGATTCCATTTTTGCATTAATACCATTTTTTTGAAAATCTAATGATATACTATATTTGGATGCTAAATCTTTACATTCCGTTGATGCAAGTCCTAATGGATGAAAATCTGATATCATTAAATGACTGGTAGCAATTGTACCGATATTATTTTCAATTAGAAAATTACAATAAAATCGTACAATATCATCGATAATAATATCCTGATCAGATTCAGGTGAATTATGTGATGGAAAATTCATTGGTGGATAATTTTCACCTGGAAATATTAAATTTGTTTGCCAAAAGATGGCATATTCATCACCATCAATATCCGAACCACCCATTTCATCTGGATGTGGTCGTTGTCCTTTAGCCGGAAAAACAACACAATCAACAATATGTTCTAAACCAACAATATTTCGTGCACGAAATTTTCTTACATCACCCAATGAAAGACAAGGAAATTTTGTTACCATTACTTCTTCATCTTCAAGTATAATCTTCTGATCAGTTGGTTGACCATCTTGATCTAATTGACAATATTGGAAAAAAATTTCACCCGATTCTAATTGATTTGTTTCATCGATAACACCAAAAGCAATACGACCATTTGATGTTGGTATTTTAATTCGAGCTTTCAATTTTAATTCATTCAAACGATAAAATAGCAAATGATTCAATATACGACGTAAAAATGGTTCATTTAGGAATGAAAATCCAGCTTTATAAAGTTTACTATAACTTAAATGACGTTGATGATATGTTTGCATTAATTCATAAGCATTCGTTTCAAACATTAATGATTTGGATAATGATTCAGTTGATTCGGTTATAATTGTGTAGAAAACTTTTGCCGGTACTTTTTGTTCACATAGTATCTGAATTAATGGTCGATTTAAATATACTGGACGAGGTGCAGAAAATTTCAATATCCCTAATGCATCATCATCAGCATGATATTTTATCATCGATTCACGAAACATAATCATATCACCCGAATCATCAGAATCATAACGTACTAACATTCCTTTACAACCACCATAACGTATTTGAAATGCAGATGGAAAATAATTTTCCGGTGTGTCTAATAATGGCAGAATTTTTCTAGCTAAACTATTCGATATAATACCACCACCATCAGAAAATATAAATGATCCATTTGTTAGATCACCCGAACGATAAATAGATACTGATTCATCACAATGATAATAAGCAATTGCTTGTGAAAATATCAAACCAAATCGGGCAATATATTTTGCTACTTTACGTTTAAATATCGATAGATTACCAACAATATTACGTAAATATTCTGCTGTACGATTCTGATTATCACAAGCATAAAATATGATACCACAATCACGCATTTGACTTGATGATGAACCAAGAAATTCATAATGACGATCAGCTAATTGAATACCGGATAATAATCTTGGCATAATACATTCTTTAACAAATTCTGTATTTGTATATGTACCATTCAACACACGACTATTATCTTCACATAATGTTAAACGTATTGCATAATCCAGATTGGCTATATTTGAAAAACGTGAACGTAAACAAGCTGTTGGACGAAAAAATAGTAAACATGTTGGTGTCATAATAGCACGACGCATTATAACATAATTTCGTTCATCATTCGAATCATTAAATAGGCTATTTTTACCACTAATTCTTTCCGGTCGATTTTCATCATCCGTATTTATAATACGATCAAATTCAGCAATAAAATCAATAACTGGATTATTTGATTTAACATCCAATTCATAAAGATAATCTTCAAATTGTTGATCATTCGATAATTTAGTAAGATCTGCAAGAAAATTTTCAATATTTTTAAAATCGAATATACCATGACGACAAATAAATCGATCAACAATACGATATGATTTAAGTATGACACGACATGCATAATTTCTTCGAAAATTTTCAGCAAAAATTTCATCAATATTTTTCAATAATATTGACATTGGATAATTTTTTTTGTTATCAATTGAATCAATTCGGCCAATATAGAATGAAAATTTACGATTACGTTCTTTACAAAGATAACTTAAACGAATTGTAGCATATAAAAATTTTTTTAAATTATCATCAGAAATTTGTAAACGATAACCATGACCATAACCGATTAAATCGGGATCATTTTTTTGGCCAAATTCTTTACAACGAATCCATTTTGTACGAACAATATTCGATGATGATAATGATTTTCGTTCCAAAAATAAAAATGGTGCCGAATTTAATTCCAAACAAACAAAAGAGCCATCTATTTCAATCAAAATGAATTGAATTGATGCAAATGATATTTCAATCTTATATCTGCAAAAAAATGTGTGGTAAGTTTAACATTGATTAGAATTTTCTGTAAAAAAATAAAATCTTACCGATCGTATGTTTGACCATTTGGAAAACAAAAATAAAAAATGATTAAATATTTTTGAAAATTCCATTCCATTTCTAATTGAAAATTTTCCGATGATATTGGTTTGAAAATTCGAAATCGATGTACAAAATAACAAAGATTAACAATCGAACCGATTGAAAATAATCGCATTTCAGTGATGAAATCCATATCATCATCAATATTAAATGAACATTCATCTTTCAGGTAACGAAGTGAATTATAAGGAAATTCCAATACAATACGACAATTATTATCAACATTTGCAGCCATTACTGAACGAAATTTTTCAATTAAATCCAATAAAAATGATTGTTGTTGTTCAGTTGAATTCAGATAGAAATCAATGTTCATTCTGTTTTTAAAAATATCAAATGAAAATGAAAATTGAATGATTTTTGGAAATGGCAACAACTTACTTGACAATAAATTCATCATAATAACGATGACTAATTTTAGCTTCATAAAAATTATTTTCATTTGAATTATTTTTTAAAATATTTTGTTCAAAAAATTTAACTGTAAATAAAAATTCTTGATCAACTGAATGATAATTTTGTTGTTTATCAACAATAATATCACGTAATTTTATTACAGTAATTGTTATCGGTATCAATGCATACGATAATGATGATGAAATAGAATTTTCTTGCATAAGCCATGTGATTGTCATTTCATCATCGTCATCATTTTCATCTTCACCATCATTATCATTATCGTCGTTATCATTATTATTGTCATCGTCCACATTAGCATCTTTCTGGTGATAATGATTATCATCATCACCATCATCGTTAATAATTGAGAACATGTTCATTTTCGAACGATAAATAGCTTCCAAAAATTGCCAACCAAAAAAATTGCTAACGATATTTCGATTTAAATCAAAAGTTTTTTTTCAAAGAGTTTAGTTGAATCAAATGGTGTTTATTTAGATCATTAGATGTTAAAAAAATGTCATTTACTCGAATGATAATAAATGAAATGTATGGAATTTTCTTGTTTACGAAATGGATTTTCGAAAAACAAATCAAACGAACGCAAAAAGCAAACAACAACAATCGAAGCAACTATGTAATTTCCGTACATTGTATATGAATGGGCTTCTTTTGTTTGTTCGTATTTTTTGTTTTCGTTCGAAATTTTTTTTTTGTTTTTTCCCGATTTTGTTTTGGAAATTGATTTTTGTTTTGATGTTTTTGTTTTTTGTTTTTTTCCGAAAAAAAATCCGAAAATTTGTTGACAGCCTTATTCGATGATAGCAGACTGATCGTTTGATCAATCGAAAAACAAAGCAGACAAAACACGATTTTCATATCATCATTTTCGTCTGATTATGTATTGGCTATGTATTTTTTGGTTCCATCGAACCGAATTTTCAAAAAAAAAGACATCATGATCATCATCCATCGATCAATCAATCAATCGAATGAATCAATCAAACAAACAAATGAAACAAAAAAAACGTGTCGAAATTTACGAAACCAAAAAACGTGATTGGTTTTTTTCTCGCTTGTTTTTCTCCCTTTGATTAACAACAACAACTCACTCAATCCAGCAAACGTGCTAATGAGGTGACGATTGATAATAAACCTATTGATCATGATGATGGTTATTTTTAGAATTTTTATCGAGAAAAAATGTTATAAAATTTTGGTTTATAATTATGACACCACCATCATTGGATGATAATGATGATTACAGCATTCGATTTTTTCTGTTGCTCTTGTTGTTTTGGTTCGGAAGTTGATCGTGAACATTAACTCCCATCATCACCATGATCAGTATTTTTTCAAGAAAAACGATATCTCAATATTCAAATATGATCATTTTCAGAACGAAACAACTTTTTTTGTTGTTGTTGTTGTTTCGTTGAACCAACTCAATTATAGTCATCATCCAGATCATTTGGTCTTGACCTTGACGCGTCTTATCTGGTCATATATCGTCAACTGAAATGACAATCAACCAAGTAAAAAAAAATCGACGACAATCAATGAATGAAAATTCGTTTTTTAATGAATCAAAAAAAAACGAAAGATTCTATCCCGATAACTCGATATCTTATCAATCGGTTTTATCACGATATTTATATTTGTTTACCGAAGGCACCCGGCTTTCACTGTAGCCATTGAACTGAATTATGAGCAAAAAACATTGATTATTTTATTATCGATTTAAGTGAAAGTAATATTCGTACATTTGGTCTATATTTAGAAGATATTTTCATTCATTTTTTGCTCGAAAACTTGGAAAAAACAAAAATAATCAATTAAAGCAATAGCCAAATAATGATTAATTAAGTGCCAGCAAGAAAAAAAAATGTTGGTGCTCATGGTGGCAGACCAAAAATCATCATCATCCATTATCCATCCATTTGATTTTTGTTTTTCTTCATCAAATTCGCATCATTTAATGATACGATTTAAATTTTTTCGTTCATTGACACCATCAAAGAACGAAAATTCATTCATATCACCTGTGTGTGTTCAGATTAATTTACCGGGTCAAACACAAGAAGCCGATAAAAAAATTTTTGTTTGGCCTCATGTCGTCGCCATCATTGACATCAATGAAATTGATCATTGAATGAATTGTTGCCATTACATTGGTGGTGGTCAACAAATCCTCTAATGGATGATGAGTGTGTGAGCCTCTCATGATGCTCCAGAGAGAGAGAGAGAGAGAGAGAGAGAAAAGCATCAATTGAATTTGAATATCAAAAATCAATCAAACAACAATAAAACTATCGTAAGCGATTTTAAAACTTTTTTTTTTAAAGAAAAATTTTCGACCTAAAATTTAAGCTTTATTTTTTTTTTTGATTCTTTTTTTCCATGATAGATTTGTCATTTTGATAAACGAAAGAAATTGAGAATGACCGAACCGAAATTCTGATGTCTTTATTTATCCAATGATGGTAATGGTGATGATGATAGTCATTGAAATCATTTAAAAATCGTCAATCTTGTCATTATTGTCTCCTATTGCGAAGTGAATGATGAATGAAAAAAAGAAAAAAAAAGAGGCCACTTGTATTTTTTGTGGTGAATAATAATAACGATTTGATAAGAGGATCTTATCAGAATGAATAATGAAATGAAGAAAAGAAAAGTGAAAGTGTTGATTGACGATTGATGAATGAATGTTGACAAGATACAAATCTTTGGTTTTGGTTCGAATGCTGATCATTTATATCAAAGAAGAAGAATATTTTGTGTAACCAGAGAAAAAAATGTCTCTTTTAAATGATCTTCTTATCAAAGAAAAAGGTAAGAAAACCATGTTTTATATGTGATATCTGATTCTGATAAACATTTTTTTTTCAAATATATTATATAGCCCTATGATCAACAAAATTTTTTGGAAAGGATCCACCATGTAAATGGCCATAATGGTGATAAGTGTCGGACAGCAGGAGAATAGGGTCATATTATTGGTTGAAGAATGCATACATGGGTCAGACATGGTGGTATGTTTTTATTGATGTTTTTCTTTTTTGAAAAATGAAATTTTTTTACAATTTTCATGTCATGATCCTTAGGTATTTTTTCTTAGGAAGAACATAACATTTTTTTTTTTGATTGATCTGTGATCGATTTTTTTTTGTTTGTTGGGTCTGTCTGTTCCGATTTCCAACCAGTCCAATTGTTAGTTGTTTGATCGAAAACAAAACCAGAAAAAAATTGACCGTTGCATCAAATGATGATGATGAAGCTAATAGTCATAGTTCAATCATAGACTGACATATCTAGGGCTTCGATTTTAATTGTTCTTCATCATCATCAACAACAGTTTTTTCACCGTTTTTTTGTTTTGTTTTGTTTTTTTTGCAAAACAATACAAAAAAACATCGATTAAATGAAATTAACTTTGATCAACGCTGATCTTACTGTCGATGATCTTCAAAAAGGTCAAACAATTTAAGATCAATTAAGAAAAGAATTTAAAAATTCATTTTATTTTATTCTGTTTTAGTAGATAACAAAATCCGAATTATCTTTCAATCAAAAAAAAAAAATCATTAATAATATGAATACAATGGTTAGAACAACAACAACGAGAAAATTTACAGGAAAATTTTTGTTTTAGGTTTTTTTATACAAAAAGTGAATTTTTTTTAGAAAAATTTTGAAAAGAAAAGAATTTTTTTCTTCTTATTTGTTTGTTGAATGTACACAATCCAATAGATCGCTTAATGCCATTATATAACTTTGTGCCATTTGTAATGTTTCAAATTTTGATAATTTTCTATCATCACCAATTGATGGTACAACTTGCCGTAAACGATCAAATGCTGTATTCAATGAATGCATTCTTCGACGTTCACGTGCATTAGCAGCTACACGACGTTTTTTCAATATTATTGTCGATATATTTGATCGAGGTTCATGTGGTTGTTGTTGTTGTTGTTCACGATTTTTTCGAATCGATTTTATCATTTTTGAACGTCCTGAAGATGATGATTGTCGTTGTTTAGATCGATTTTCATTATTCTTTTTCGTGGTAGTGATAGCTTTAGTTGATTTGGCATCCAAAATTAATTTATCTTTCGAATCTTCTGAATCTTGCTGATCATTATCATTATTATCATCATCATCATCGTTAGATTGAAAATAATAATTTGATTGGCTGCTGCTACTACTGCTACTACAGGAAACATTATGATGATCATCTGATGGAAATGTCATTGTCATTGGAAACATTATCAATGGTGATGTTGGTGTTTCTGGACAGCAGCCACCATTATTATTATCATTATCATTATAATTTATTAATTCATATTGTGAAAATTCTTGTTTAATCATCATCGATGATGATGATGGCAGTGTTGTTGTTGTTGTTGGCGGTAATAATTGTTGTTGTTGTTGTTGATGAGGATGATGATCATAAATAGATAATGGTGGTGTATATATCGGTGTTGCATATTGTTCCGGTGTTGTTGTTGTTGTTGTTATCATAGATTCATGATATCGATGTTCATTATGTTGATGATGGTGGACATGATGATTATAATGATGATCACCAATTCTTGATTCGTCCATCGATGATGTTATCGTTGTCAACATTATTCGTCGATAAAATTTAAAAAAATTGGAAATGGAAACAAACTTACTCAGTGCTATTTATACACCTTCACAGAAAAAACACAAAAATAGCAGAACCGTTCGCTCGCGTTCGATAATGAAAATGAAAATGAGGACCTAAATCAATCGACGACCTCGAACCTTTTTATACTCGCTTTCCTAACCATTCCGATGAATGATTTAGATGATAATACCTGTGTGTGTATGTGTGTCTTGTCTCGTCGTATAATTGTTAAAGAATCATCATCAACAACAACAACATTGAATGGGGCTGGTTGAATCTAAACAACCAATCATACCAATGGTTCCGCTGCTGATTTGTTACCTTGTTTTGTTCAAAAAAAAGTACCATCATCATCAAAGTGTGATCATTCATTCGAGACACACACTAACACAACACAGGTATTATAAAAGGTGGTAGGCGGTTCATCATTAGAATTTAAGTGTGGTAGATAATGTTTGTTCGTTCGGGACGATCATCAAAAATCGCTGAATGATGATGATGATGATGATGAACCATCAACCATCATCATCATCAATAGATTTATGAAAAAAATAACAATGTTGTTGTAGTTGTTGTTCTGATCTGGTCATCCATCAGAACAACAACAACAGAAAAAACACTTGTCGATAACAAACAACAAACAACCGATGAAAATGAATGAAACATAGTTAGGATCTATTATCTAACACTGCTGAAATTGCTTGGATTTTTTGTTTCTTTATTCACCGTATTTCTTTTTGATTTGATTGTTGAAGTAAACAAAAAAAAACATTTCAAATTGTCATCAATAACACATCTTTTCTGTTTATTTTAGAAAATGTCCAAAATTGGATTTTTTTTCCAATTCAATTCAAATGGCCATAATTATGTGATGATGATGATTG